TCCCGTAAAGATTTACACCCTCGGAAACCCTGTACAGGGTCGCTATGGGTCGGACCCGACTCGATGGCACTTAACAACAACAACAACAACAAGTGGGTGATGGGTGGATAGATTTCTCAGACAAAAATGAATGTCTATTTTTGCAAACATTTTATTGTGAGCTTTTCTGGTTGCATTTTTACTGTTTCTATGCCCTTTAATTGTAAAATATTGAAAGCTGAGGATGTTTTCATGTCTTTATATTCCCACAGATAATCTGTAGTATAATTTAATACACATAGTATAAGTTCAATAAGGCTTGTTGAGTGAAAAAAAGAGAGAGAATCTGGGGATGCACATTTGAATCTGAACTTCTATATACAAAGAGAGGGAAGTTGAATTCTATTACCATAGAATAGTAAATCCACAATATTGTGAATTACAGTGGTAATTCATGCAGTTCTATGATTCACATATGAAAGCAAGAACTAAGGGAGTGAAAATACACTGGTTGAAAGGCATTAGCTACAATAAAGAAAAGGCATGATGTTTAAAATGAACTTCTTAATAAAGACTTAAGCCACTCTAGTAGTAACCCAGGAAAAATACTTATTTTCTTAAACAAAGAGTGCACTATTATTATAAAATGGGATATTGTTAGTTTATATAATTGTATTTTTTATATACAGTGCAATATATTTATATCTATAAATAAAATTCCACTAAAGTAGTATTCTGAAGACTTGTCCTGGTAACTTGAATGATAAGCTGGAAGTCTAAATTATCATAATAGCAAAAGTTATTAACTAAAAAGGCCATTAGAGAACATTTCGGATAAGATGAAAAAAAATATCCTACTACTTTGAAGTAAGAAAGTGAAATTCAGAGATTTTTGAATTTTATCCAGAATTAAGATCTTGCAATTTTTAAATAATGAAGTACATCATTTAAAAGCATATATGTAAAAATGTGTTTTTTACATTTTCTCTCATAAAATAAGGCCTTGCTTGCCTTTGTTGTCGTCAGTCAGTGCCATCAAATCTGTCTAGGGTTATTTTCCCTTTATTTAAAAAGTTAATGCCCAAAATGTTGTTGTTGTTGTTTTTAAGTGCCATCTACTCGGTTCTGACTCATAGTGACCTTACATAGAGTTTCCAAGAAGTGGCTGGTAAATTTGAACCACTAACCTTGTAGTTCAAACCAACCTTGTGGTTGAGTGCTTATCTTACAGTACCACACTCCCAGATGTCCAAAATGAAAGCCATAAATTCAAAAAGTATTTTCTGAGGAAAAAATGTATTTAAGCCAAGTAAAAATTATAGCTACCCCATAGTCAGCATTTCATTTCATCAAGTTTTTTAATTAAAGTGAAACATTAATTGAAAGATGTTATCATAGATTTTACTTGTTTCTGCACAGAAAAAAAATTATTAGACTATTGTTCAAATGTTGTCCTTTTCTATTGAAATTCACATTTAATGAATAATAAGCATTCCTTAAAAAATTATGAATATGTAACTCTTCCAGCATGATCTTCCAGCATTGGGTCTTTATGCTCTGGTTAGAATAACACATTGCTTTAATTTCTCTCCAAATTAGTTACAGTTTTAGTGGAGACCTTTCCACTAAAGGTGATCAAAGTCAAATCATCCATAATTTAAATGAAGAAAATGAACAAATTCTTAATCGTTAATTTCCAATAATAGCTGTGCAAAGTGAATTCTTGAGCAGTAAGACTGGTCTTATTTCAGCTCTATTTGAAACTTTATTATATCTGTCAAATTAGGAAGATTTTGTTTTCTAAGGATATGTTTTACTTCTGTGGCACTGTAGGGTAAACATTGGACAACTAACCAAAAGGCCGGTAGTTCAAACCTACCAGCTGCTCATTGGAAACCCTATAGAAGGTATGGCACTTAACAACAACAAAGTATTTTGACTTTGAAAGTAATTAAACCACCTTGTTTCATGGCAACAAGTATATAGTTTCTTCCCACTATATACATACAAAGCTCATTAATTAACAAACAGAGAATACATTCATTGTTGTTGTTAAGTGCTGTCTAGTTAGTTCCAACTCATAGTGGCCCTATATAGGGTTTCAGAGTCTTTAAATCTTTGTGGGAGCAGAAAGCCTCATCTTTTCTCCCATGAAGCGGTTGATGGGCTCGAACCATGGACCTTGTGATTCACAGTCAAGCATTTATTGTATTTAGTAGCAACATGATGCCCTCATTTATAGCTAGGATAAAAGCACGTCAACTATTTCAAAACCGTTAAAGCAAATGAGTTTTCCTTTCTATTTTTTGACAGGAAGAAGCACTGCATGGATTTCGAGTGAGTGATTACTTTGAATACATGGAAATGTTGGAGCAAAACTACAGACCAGTGTTGCTGAAAGACATGCGGAACATTAGAATGCAGAGCACATAGATCATGGGGACAAAGATTAATTTTGTTTTATATATTTTTAAGGGAAGCAGGGGATTTGCTTGTTTTCTTTCTGTGCCCATAAAAACAGATGCTTTACGAATACACATATTATAAAATCAACCTAAGTTGTTGTTGTTTTAATAGAATGTTTTCAGGCAGACATTAGCTCAATTTCTGACAGTGCATTCGTTTTTATAAGTTTGCTGTTTTTTAAGGTGGTTTTCATATCCAGCCTTGCTTATGTATACTCTTGTTCTTATTTATGGTTCAGAGCTGTCCCCAACCTACATCTTCTTTTCACCAGATGATTAAAGCACATTTTTCAGTGAGTTTGGAAAGAAGCAATATTCTCAGTGATTGTTTGGTTAACCAGGGAGAGGCCATAGAGAGAAAAGAAAGGACGTTCTTGTTTTCCCCATTCTTTTTGTCTATATACTTATATAAAGGAAAATAAAATAAAATCACAACTGCTTATATTATATTTTTTGGGGAAAATGGTATTTATCATGGCAAGTGGTGGAAATACTGTTGTCCTAGGAGTTTGTTTCGGATTCTTATATCAATTTGTAATCTTTCATTTGAAATGTAGCCTCTGCATGGTTCATTTCAAAGATAGCTTGATTATTCCATTCCAATGAGCATTCTGCTGTCATTTGTTAATGCATTTTCTTTAGTTATAGATTTGCTTTGTACTGAACTTGAGAACATTAAGGACAAAAGATTTCTAAATTATTTTAAATCACTAACAGTTTTATTTGAATAGAAATCGCTGTTCCAGTAAGATTAATACATTATATGTGGGTTGTTTTTTTTATATATATATTTCATAGCTGTCTTATTTAATATATGAAAGATCATATACAAAGAAATCACATTGTTAATTTTTCAGTCAGCATTTTATTTCAACAAGGTTTTAAATTATAGAAAGAAGTTGTTTTATATTTATTGCTTATATCCAAATAAAAATCAACTATTAAAACCAGACTAAAGCTAACTCCACTTTTTGTCATTTACAAGCAAAAATGGCTGTTCCACAAACTCATTTTCCTTTTAGCATGATGAAACAATGGATACAGTTTTCAGTTTTATGATATTTAGGATACTGCAATGCCAACCTTCCAAAATGAGTTTTCATGTTGTAAATGCCAGTGATAGTTTCTCAGTAACGGTGTTTTGAAAGGACATTGAAAAAGACGTGAAAAGAAAATTGAGCAAGTTCATTTGACAATAGTGTACATGTTCACTTCAGATGATGGGAGTGAAGTAAGAGAGTGCTAGATGACCTAAAACACTCAGCTTTGTCTACCAGACTTAACTTTGTGCCGCTGTTCCATGAAAGCTCGAATGTATATTTATGGTTTCATTTCTTCCCATTATATACCTGAGTTATTGTGAATAGTCTTTAAAAAACTTGCAATGCTTTATTATTTAAAAAAAAAACAAAAAACTCTTACACAAAATTTAAAATAAAAAAGAGAAAACGGAACTGTAAGGGAACTTTAGAATAGTTATTGCCGATTTTAATTGGAGACTGAGAGAAGATAAAAATTATAACTATTGCATTTTGTTAAAGTGACTTCAGCTGGAGCCAGAAGCTTTATTCCATTTGAGAAATAAGAGTTGTCTTGTGAACAATGACTTAGCAACTTATTTGGCATACAAAAATGTAAAACACGGTTGTCTGTGTAGATCCCATTTTGAATTATTTTTGTATCTCTTTTTATTTTAAAAATACACTTTTGAACAAAGATAGATGCAGTCCTGTATTGTCACTTAGTGTTTTGGTTTTTTACAAGTTTAAGTATATGTCTTTAGGGCATGCCTTATTTGTGAAGGAGTACCTCATATAATTTACAAAATTAAAGGATAACAAATTATACTGAATGGTACAATCTGTAAAGATTTTAAGTACTTGTATAAAACCTTTAATGTCTGCTTTCAAAAATGTCATTTTTGTGGTTAACCTTACTTGTGATGCATGAAGGTAGCTTAAGTCTCAGAAATTCACCAAGATTTCCTAAAAAGACTTCCTAAATTTATGATTATTAAATTACATTTGCTCCAGTTTGATTTTCCATTTCCCAGATAAAGAAATTTCAGTGGTCATTCAACAAACACATTTTTTGCCTGGAAACAATTTTTCAGACTTGAACTGTAATTAATTTTTTTGTTCAATTAATAATAAAGAATGTTTACTTAAGCACTCCACTCTTTCAAAGGATTATCAATGTGAAATCAAACTGGTAACAATAACCCTAAAATGCAAATGAGAACTTTATGGAGCAGAGAGTAAATTAACAGTGTGAACAATATGGGTCCGTAGAATAGTGATGTCATGTTGAGTTTGTAAACTTTGTCATGTGAAAACTGTGGGCCTTGTCTGTGTTGTTGGGTACATTTTCACTAAAACTATGTAAATATAGTTACACAAAACTTCTATGATATAAAATTCCCCTGTAGTTCAGTCTTTGTTGTTGTTGTTTTTGAAACTTCTCTCTGTGTCCTTTTCTGTAATTTACTTGTCGTGTTTTCCCCAGAGTTCTATTATTCTATTATTTCCCCAGTCTTCTTTTACTTCTCCAGTCTCTTTTCTTGAGTTATCACATTCACTCCAAGGTTCATTTAGCATCCTTACACTAATGTCTCCATAAAATGAGTGAAGCAGAAAACCCTCCTCTCTGTTCTTGCTGAAGGATTTGCCTAGAAAAAAAGGAAAAGAGCTCTGCTGGCGCAGTAGTTAAGTGCTCTGCTACAAACCCTGGAGTTTGACCTCAACATCCGCTCCATGAGAGAAAGATGTGGTAATCTTCCTTAAAAATCACAGCCTTTGAGAACCTATCTATGGGCCATTTGACATTGTCCTATAAGATCTCTGTGAATAATACTTGACTCTGCAGCACCCAACACAACATGACTAGAAGAGGAAAAAAAGGAGGAGAAACTAATGAGAAAAATAAGGAGTAAAAAGTAAGTGAGTACACGTCCTCCAAAATGAGGCCGGGTGGGAAGACAAGATATTCTGCTATGTCTGGGGATGATTCTACCATTCCAAACTATTACATAACTATCATTGACTGCAAGTTTGCTAACTTTCCTATTTTACCTTATAGTTTGGTCTACAGTTGTGTCTCACATGAGTTACTGCCAGTGTTTCCCTTGCTCTGCTTATTTTCCTCTACAGTCACTGAGAAGACTTGAAAGCAAAAACTGACATTGTCCCTGTTAACAGCATTACCAACTGATGGTCCATGATTCTGTAATCTTCTTCAGCCCTATAAAGCAAGTCATGCAAGATATCCTTGCAACGTAACAAATAACATTTGCTTGTATTGTACATGCAGTGAAGAGAAAAACCAAAAAATAAAATCATTATAGGTTTTTGTTTATAGAGATGGAAAATTTTCATTCATATACATTACAAAAATTTTCATGCCTATAAACAAAAGAAACCCCTCAACATCATAATGGGCTATTCATTGCTAACTTAAGTGAGTAACACAGTACCTAGAATGTGTATAGACTCCATAAATGATTGTCACAATCTAGACTCAATAAATGATGATTGCCCAGCATGATTAATGTCATGATTTCATTAAATGGTATACCTGAAGAATACTAAATTGGAAAATGTTGTATATACTTTCAAAACAAGCAAAAAGACAAACCACAGATGGGGATAAAATATTTTAAAAACACATTTCTGAGCACTTCCAGCGCTTCCCTGACCGGGCAGCACAGAGTAGACACTGGAGAGGGAGAGAAAGGAATAGTCAGAAACATCACACTAGAAGGCTCGTAAGTCCATCTTCTGCCTATGACTGATTGGAATACCTAAAATGGGGCTACAGTGTACCCAGTGAATGAAGCTTCCTGTGGAGCCTCTGCAATGCATAAAACTATAGGTAGAAACCGGAACCACATCCAGATCTCCAGAGATGAGAAATCTCCACTTGAAAGGACGAGCAGACCAGCCTGGAGCGGAGAATAAAAGATACCTCTTGAAAGAAAGATCAGCAGGAAAAATGGAGGCAGATGGACTGTTACAACAAGAACAAACAAATCACTTCCCTAGGAAACAGCAAGGCAAGTGGCCAGGTCCTCTCAACGCAACCCCCCTTCCAAGACTAAGACTCAACGGAAATGCACACACATCACCGATGGGGGGAAATGGGGTAAAAGCAGCAATGAAGCAGCAAGCTAAGCCCTACAATGTTCAGTGGGCTTCTGTGGACACAGTTGGGAACCTGGTTGGCAAGCAGTGTGAGGAGACCTGGGGACTCTTGGGCCCAGAGTCAGTGGCGTGGCCACGGAGGACTAGAGAGGAGAGTGGAGCTACCAGCTGACGGGAAGAGAGGGCATGTTCACAGGAGCGCCCACACTTGCAGATGATACCCACGTGACCTGGACTGCATGACTGGATGATCGGAGCTCAATCAGGAGAAGAAAGAAGAGGGGGAAAAAAAAAAAGAGAGCTGATACAATCTGATGAATTTGACCTATACCTATGGAGCAGCAACGCAAAAGAAGGAACAAATACTTACAGCAAGAAGCATTTACAACCCCTCCACACACAGAGTGGACGGAGATGGGCAACTTGGACATTAGATAATCAAATGGGGATGGGGGGACTACAAAGGCAAGAAGTGACTGGCTTACAAGCTTTCAAGAGGGAACCTAGTGCTAGGGAGCATGGAGGAAGGCAGAATCTCCAGTGGGTACTATTTAATCTGTCTGGGCAGAGCTGATGAAAGGAAATACAGATGGGTAACTTGTGATACTGTAGTGAATAATGCTTA